CTCTGTCTCTGGTGAAGCCTCTCACCACCCCTGAGCTTCTGGCCTGTACCCCAGTTCTGTATGTACAAATAAATAAATCTAAAAAAAAAAAAAAATGAAAAAGAATGATATTATACATTAGAATAATCACCAAGATAAATTTAAGTGAAATAAAGACAAGATAAAGAACAGAACTTATGAGGAATCCACTTGTTAACATATTTTTAAATGACATATAAAATCTTTTAATAAATATTTTTCTAGAAATATATGTAAGAGAGAGTCAAATGATGGCACCTCAAAGGATGAAACTGGGTGCAGAAAAAAAGGAAACTGGAGGAAAGGAGAAAGGAAATGGGGTATTTTTCTTAAAATCCTTTTTCAAAAAAAGTTCTTTTCCTCAGAATTCTTTTTCATCTGACAGATACTATCTCCTTAGCACCCTAATCTCCAATTCATAATCTCTACTTTAAAAAGGTTAATGCTCTCCCTAGCTTCATCCTTAGGTAGAGCAATCTAAAGTGCTGAAAATTGTAGCCACTGGAAAGGATTTTCTACTCTGCATTCCTAACCTAACCTCCCTCCACCTTTTACCGTAATTCAGCCTTTTCAGCTTCAATTTGAAGGATAGCCATTGTTTTTTCATAGTTCTTTTCAGGACAATCATAGAAAGTACGGGCAATCCATCTTGAGATAGGGTGCTATAAGAGAAAATTTATTTAAAATTAGACAGTTTTTGAAAAGTACTTTGCCTTTCCAGTTTATTATTCCGAAAATGACTGTCTCAATTAAACCAGCAACTTAAAATGTGCCAAATGTTTTTAAAATATAATTTTAATATAAAATTATTTAAAATAATTGACATATTTAAGTAATTTTAACATACTAGGTGGGTACTACTTCTGTCCCCATTTTATAAGTGAGCAAATTGCACAAAGTTATAGAGTTACAAAGTGGCAGCATCTAGATTCAAACCAGGTTTGTATGATGCTAAAATCTGTGCTCTTTCCAACTACACTACAGTATCTTTAGTGACAGATTTAGGAGCCATGCCCAGAGTTTGGTGAGCCCAAAATGGAGGTTATTCCACTAATTTGCACAGAAAAACTAAAGGCTTAATTTTCTTTTAAGATTTAATACTGAAGACAGTTTTTTGTTCCTTGCCATGTCTTCTCATAAGACTTTTAGGATCAAGTGATTCCTGGCCAAGAAACAAAAGTAGAATCATTCCATACACCAAAAGGTTTGGATGAAAACTAGTAGTAAAACCAGATATAACTGCCAAGAGGACTATTAGTATTCTGGCATTAATATTGATAAAATATTTTCTATGACATAGAACTTAGAATAAATTCTGATTGTTATTCAACTTAGGTAGAGAATAAACAGAGTCATTCTTTAAAAGACCAAAGTCTGGGCCCTCTTTGGTGGTGCAGCGGGTTAAAGCACAGCACTGAGAAGCTAAAGCCACTTCAGCAAGAGTTTGATCCCCATCTGAGAGGTGACCCACATGGTGCGGCAGACCTGTCCTGACCCGCCCACTGCTCTCCTCAGCAGTGTACTTCGTTGATCAGCCTGTTCTGTTCCCC